CAACACATGTCATCATATTGAACACATGTCACGATCTGATGAGTTATAATTTGCATACGTGTCAAATCTTGTCGATAATATATTTTTCTTACATGATTTTTTCTCTCTCCACTTTTTTTTTATGGTTTAGATTCTCTCTATTTAATTTTTTAATTGAATTTCATAATTATTTTAAACTATTATTTTTTTTTATTTTAGCTAGTATGGACTATTATAATTTTTTTTTTTACATGAATAAGAAGAATTTTTTTTTACTAATTGGTTAGTTACTTAGCGATTATTTTGTTCGTTTTTTATTTTTTATTTTTATAAATTTTTAATTAGTTTTAAGTGTTAACACATGTCTTTTTAATTTGTTTAAACTATTATGTATATTTTCTATTATCTATTTGGGATTATTAAAAATTTTTCTTTTTTGATAATTAGTTTGAACGATAATTTTTTATTTATTTTTTACTATTTGGTTATTTACTTGATAATTTTTTTATACATAGTTTAAACTATAAGTTTTTTTTTAATTTAGTTAGTGTGAACTATTAGAAATTTTTCATTTTTTAACTTTGTTATTGTGGACTATTATAAATTTTCCTTTTTCTCATATTTACTTTGAGCAGTAAAAAAAAATTTCTTCTTTATTATTTTGTTAGTTACTTGACATTTATTTTGTTCGTTTCCAATTTTATTTTTATACTTTTTAGTTAGTTTTAACTGTTAACACAAGTCATCATCGAATTAACCATAGACACATGCCACGATCTGGTGAGTTAGAATTTTGTTTATGTGTCGCGTTCTCATCGTGCGTATCCTCTTTTAGATAATAAGCTAATCGCAATTTAAGAGAATTTTTCAGAAATGTTATTTTTGAAGCCACTTTTCAAAAAATGTTATTTTTTCAAAAGTTTTGACAAATGCTATTTTTTCAAATTATCTACTCAATATCCTATATATATATTAATTGAAGAGACACTAAAAGTAAAAATTTTAGGTGTCATTTAAAGAGAATTTTAGGGAACACATTAATTAAATCAACCAATCACATTTTAATTTGCTATCGTGGAAATCTCTACATATTTTAATATTTTTTAATATATACATAGCATTGATGACAAAAATATATACTTTCCAAATTATAACCTAAAAACTCAAACCAGTTTAATTAGTAATATTTTGGTTTGGGTTTAACAACATTTTATACAGCTGTTGAAAAACATTTTTTTTTTTTTTGTAAATATAAGATGTAGATTACATTCTTTGCCATACACTATAATATGATACTTCCATTTTATTTTTATTTTTCTGTATACACTTAAACGTAAGACCTATCATATTATAATATTCAAGATTCAAAAACCGGTCGGATAATTTTTTAATGGACATAATGATTTATCTAATATATTTTGATATGTATGATTCAAGACAATATATTTTAAATATGCTCCCACGCATAGCGTGGATCAAAATATAGTATTATTTATGTTTGTATCAATTATGTTGTATTAAGGTTTAAGGGTCAAAATATTT